AACAAAAACAAATGCACATAGAGTCAGGAACTTGCCAGTGAGAATGACTTGTTTCGATGTGTGACTCGTGCAGACAAACTCTGCGCTTGGTGCATGAGACATCCAGCATGCTGATGGTGGAACAGTATCTGTTGGTGTTAAATTCAGTGGGATCACAATGTTGGAGTTAATTTGTTATTTAAAGCTTTTTCCTAGCAAAGAGCTCACTATTTAGTATCTGTAATCGTTTTTTTAACATGCCTCTGAGCAATGCAAGTCATCGGGAAAGGCTAACGCTAAGTCAGGGACTCTGTGGGAAGATGGTCTCACCACTGTAATGATAGTGCTGTACGTTAAATTATACATGTTAGCACCTCTCATCAGTGAGAGTGACTTGGAATGACTTTTCAAAATAAATTAATGTTATAACAAAACACTTAACAGAACAAATAACATACTGTGCCACTAGTAACAATTTTCTGTTTGTTTTGAAATAACTATTTTGAAAATCATCTTAAACGACCCAGACTCAGCATTTGGCCAGCGACAGGACAAATCACTACGGAGATGTTGTGAAGTGTTCGTCCATCAGTAACAGTCGAGCCCTAAGTCTGTCAGCTCTACTTCCATCTACTAAATTCTGAAAAGGTGCAACCATGGTGGGATTAACTCAGCTAACAGCAAACCAAAGTAGAAACCAAATGATGCATAGGTGGTCGCACTTTTTTTTCCCCCCTAGACAAATGATGCATCTGAGGGGCAAAGGTGAACTTTAAATTAAAGTGCAAATAATGATTCAATCATCAAAATAAAACACCTTTACAGACAGAGGGCACTGATGAGCATTAGCTCAACAGTAAATCACAGGACATTTTGTGACTACAGCCCAAATTAATAACAAAATATAGCAGGTTAACATAAATCTTGGGACTTTCCCAACAAGTAGATTTAGTAGCTAAATATTATAAATGGTTCATTTTGCTCACATTCAAAAGGGATCAATGATTAAAAGGAAACACTAGACCTGCTGGAACAAAATAATCAGACAAAGGAAAATAAAAGTTCAGTTCTAAATATTAAAATAATGAATTAAATATCTGACATCAAAGTTAAAAATTAACCCGTGTCGGAATACACTTGCTATAGAGCAGGGGTCGGCAACCCTAGGAAGGGTTAACTGATGGCACGACCATAGCTGG